AACCTTTAAACGACTTTTTCTGAATTACCAAAATGTCTAGGGTGATGATATTTGGCCAGTAGCATGCTGGCATGAAGGGCTACCAAGTTTGTTCAAACAAATGACCTTCACTCATATTCAAGGTCACAGGGGTCAATTGTCTTATAAACCTTTAAACGACTTCTTTTGTATAACCAAAAGGTCCAGGGTGATGATATTTTGCCAGAAGGATGTTGGCATGAAGGGCTATGAAGTTTGTTCAAATGAATGACCTTTGCCCATATTCCAGGTCACAGGGGTCAAACATGTTGAAATCTTTAAACGACTTCTTCTGAATAACTAAAGCATATATGGTGATTGCTTGTCCGTAGTGCTGGTCCGTAGTGCTTGTCCGTAGTGCTGGTCCGTAGTGCTTGTCCGTAGTGCTGGTCCGTAGTGCTGGTCCTGGTCCGTAGTGCTGGTCCGTAGTGCTGGTCCTGGTCCGTAGTGCTGGTCTGTAGTGCTGGTCCGTAGTGCTGGTCCTGGTTCGTAGTCCTGGCCCGTACTGCTGGTCCTGGTCCGTAGTCCTGGTCCGTAGTGCTGGTCCTGGTCCGTAGTGCTGGTCCGTAGTGCACACAAATCTTTAAAAGTCATCTTCTCAGTAAACAATAGATCTAAGGTGGTGATATTTTGCAAGTTGCATTCTGGGAGGAAAGGCTACGTTCACGATTATGACAAAACCTAATTGAATGAAAGTATATGCGTTCCATGTCTACGTGCTCTAATACTACATCAAACTCGGATGCAAAAGTTGTTTCGTAAAACTTTTAGACGTGGATATATATATGTAACGTTACATGGGGTATATATATATTAAGTAGGAGGAAATACAAGCGATTTGTCAGCAGATTTCAGAAGATTATATTGCAAATATATGACTCTTAAAAAGTTGCAGCATAATTAAACTGACTCTTACGTAATACCTATTTATTTTGCTATAAATCAAGTAAAATATGAAGGTTTCATTCTGTGGAGCTGCTGTTCTATCATCTTATTTACATTTCTGCCATATCAAAATCGTCCTCCAATGTCAATATCTTTACGTAAAAGGGGATTTGTCTTCGCCCGACTTCAACTTAAATTTGTCGAGAATTGTATTACGCATGTATTTCATGCCAAGAAAAACACTGTCAGACGTGTCCATTGAAAGAGAAATCAGACATATATCGGAGGGGTGTTACTCCTGAACCCTAGCTACTCTATATATGTACCAGTGACCCAAACCTGCCACTATGACATCACAAGTACACGTGATCGGTTAGCTCATTAAAATTCTCGTCAGTAAGGAGCGGTCGTCTTTAATTGGTTGCCTACATCTAAGTAACGGGACACTTCTAAACGCTCGTTGATGGGCGATTCAATATTTATTCAAGTATATTAGAGGTTTCGATCTTTTAAAGGATTTTGGCCTTTCTTCTTCTTCTTCTTCTTCTTCTTCTTCTTCTTCTTCTTCTGTATAACCAAAAGGCTCAGGGTGAGGGTATTTGGCCATTAACATGCTTGCATAAAGGGCTACCAAGTTTGTTCAAATGAATTACCTTGACCTATATTAAGGATAAAAAATTCTTCTTCTGAATAACCATGCATAAGGCCTAGAATGTTGATATTTTGCCAGTGGCATGCTTTGATGAAGGGTGCTAAAAAAAATAACCTTGACATATATTCCAAGGTCACAGATGTCAAATATGTTTAAAAAATAATATCTTCTTCTGAATCAATTTGGCTAGTAACATCTTTGGATGAAGGGCTATCATGTTTTTTTATTAGCTCACCTGCCCCAAGGTCAAGTGAGCTTATGTCATGGTGCGGCGTCCCTCGACCGTCGTCATCCGTCATGTTTTCCTTTAAACAACTTCTTCTGAAGAACAAACAGGCCTAGAGTCATGAAATTTGGCTGACAGATTTATTGGTAGGAGCCTGACAAAGTTTGAGAATGAAAATGACCTTGACCTCCTTTCAAGGTCACAGGGGTCAACTTTGTGAAACATTAAGAAGTATAGAATCTTCATATTTGGCTGGTAGCTTCCTAGGTTTGTTTGTTTATGTTTAACGACCCATCGACGGCTGTGGTCATTTAGGGCCATGGTGATTTATTTTTTTATTGTATTTTTTTAACAAACATGTGAGTAGCGAAGATAAAATCAGATAAAATGGTTCATTTTAAAAGCATTTGCATTGTATGTGTAGATAATTAAAAATAAAAAGGGGGTTAAAATAACAAAAGAGATAACGAATAGATGATATGGAATATGTGATATATATAGCGTCAAAAAGGGTAAGGTGGGTTAAAAGACATCAGAGTCTATAGAATAGACCGATGTCTTTCAAATAGTTAAATGATGCCTTCGAGTCCACGGAACTGAAAAGAGACTCGAAAGTAGTTATCACGAATGTGTTTAAAATCGGAACATTCTATTAAAAAATGTTCCACTGTAAATGGAGTGTCACATGCCTGGCATGAAGGTAGATCTTCTCGTTTTAAAAGGTACGAATGAGTAGGATATGTGTGCCAAGTACGGAGCCGAGCGAGGACAACTTCCTCTCTACGATCTTTCCGACTGGGAATAGACGTTTTAAGTTTCGGTTGTACCTTAAAAAGTTTGTTGGTGGTCTTTCGAGACCAGCGTTGCTGCCATTCATTTTGAATGGCTGTACGAATAGTAGGTTTAAAACCAGTGTATGGTAGTTTGATATTTGTTTGCTGGAGATTAAATGCATTTTTTTGCTTCCCTGTCAACTCATTCGTTGCCTTTAATTCCTACATGGCTCGGAATCCATAGTAAAGTTATTTTTGACTTATTGAAGAGCAAGGTTTTGTATGAGTGTGTTTTTAGGATCTCGTAACTGTAAACTTTGTAGGACAGATAGAGAGTCGGAACATATGATTGCCTTTTTAATGCGGTATTTATCGATATGGTCTGGTAGTCGAACTGAAGTGCAAGAACTAGCAGTATAGAGGATTTGTGTTCTTCGGGCATAATACTTGATTTCCCTCGCTCATGTAATGTAAAGTTAAAATCAGGTGTTTGAGATTTGTCATCTCAACATTATACGATACTCATGTCAACATTACAGGTCATGTCAACACTACAGAACTTGTCATGTCAACTTTATATGATATTCGTATCAAGTCTTGTCATGACTTCTTCGTCGTGTCCGTGTAAGAAGTCTTGTCCGTGTAAGAAGTCCTGTCCGTGTAAGAAGTCCTGTCCGTGTAAGAAGTCCTGTCCGTGTAAGAAGTCGTGTCCGTGAACGTGTAAGAAGTCGTGTCCGTGTAAGAAGTCGTGTCCGTGTAAGAAGTCTTGTCCGTGTCAGAAGTCGTGTCCGTGTAAGAAGTCGTGTTCGTGTAAGAAGTCGTGTCCGTGTAAGAAGTCGTGTTCGTGTAAGAAGTCGTGTCCGTGTAAGAAGTCCTGCCCTTGTAAGAACTCGTGTCCGTGTAAGAAGTCGTGTCCGTGAAAGAAGCCGTGTCCGTGTAAGAAGTCTTGCCCGTGTAAGAAGACCTGTCCGGGTAAGAAGTCCTGTCCGTGTAAGAAGTCCTGCCCGTGTAAGAAGTCCTGTCCGTGTAAGAAGGAAGTCCTGTCCGTGTAAGAAGTCGTGTCCGTGAACGTGTAAGTAGTCGTGTCCGTGTAAGAAGTCTTGTCCGCGTTAGAAGTCGTGTCCGTGTAAGAAGTCGTGCCCGTGTAAGAAGTCTTGTCCGTGTTAGAATTCGTGTCCGTGTAAGAAGTCGTGTCCGTGAAAGAAGCCGTGTCCGTGTAAGAAGTCTTGTCCGTGTAAGAAGTCGTGTCCGTTTAAGAAGTCTTGTCCGTGTTAGAAGTCGTGTCCGCGTAAGAAGTCGTGTCCGTGAACGTGTAAGAAGTCGTGTCCGTGAAAGAAGCCGTGTCCGTGTAAGAAGTCTTGCCCGTGTTAGAAGTCGTGTCCGTGTAAGAAGTCGTGTTCGTGTAAGAAGTCTTGTCCGTGTTAGAAGTCCTGTCCGTGTAAGAAGTCGTGTCCGTGTAAGGAGTCTTGTCCGTGTTAGAAGTCGTGTCCGCGTAAGAAGTCGTGTCCGTGAACGTGTAAGAAGTCCTGTCCGTGTAAGAAGTCGGGTCCGTGTAAGAAGTCGTGTCCGTGTAAGGAGTCTTGTCCGTGTTAGAAGTCGTGTCCGTGTAGGAAGTCGTGTCCGTGTAAGAAGTCTTGTCGTGTCCGTGTAAGAAGTCTTGTCCGTTTTAGAAGTCGTGTCCGTGTAAGAAGTCGTGCCCGTGTAAGAAGTCTTGTCCGTGTTAGAATTCGTGTCCGTGTAAGAAGTCGTGTCCGTGTGAGAAGTCGTGTCCGTGTAAGAAGTCGTGTACGTGTAAGAAGTCATGTCCGTGTAAGAAGTCCTGTCCGTGTAAGTAGTCTTGTCCGTGTTAGAAGTATCTCAAAAACAGAAAACAATGTTAACTTAGAAAATTTGTTGAATTCACTGTTCATTCCATTTGAATTTAATAAGAAATCTTTTCTGTTTGGTACATATCGTCAGAATGGAATAAACAGAAAAGTGGATAATATGATCATCTTTACAATAAAACAATATATCTACAAAGCAAGGTGCCTCAGGAACAAACTCTGCATTATTGCCCTGAAAAATACACTAAAAGATACATATACAACTCAAAAATACATTGCTAGAAGTAAGGGAGAAAGCTACTTAGACCAGTTTCAAAGAGAATGGGCCAAATGGCAAAACTTTTTTTGAAACACCCAAACTTGAAATTACGACTGATTTACCATAAGTAACTTATCAATTTATAAATATATTTGTTGTATTGAGTAAATGTAAATATTGATTACGCTCACACTGACAGCTAGCTTAGAAATTCAAAATGTAATACAAATTTTCAACAATCCTACCTTTCCTTTTTGATAATCGTATGGATATTATACGATACTCATGTCAACATTACAGGTCATGTCAACACTACAGAACTTGTCATGTCAACTTTATATCCCCCTCGTATAAAGTCTTGTCATGACTTCTTCGTCGTGTCCGTGTAAGAAGTCTTGTCCGTTTTAGAAGTCGTGTCCGTGTAAGAAGTCGTGCCCGTGTAAGAAGTCTTGTCCGTGTTAGAAGTCCTGTCCGTGTAAGAAGTCGTGTCCGTGAACGTGTAAGAAGTCCTGTCCGTGTAAGAAGTCGTGTCCGTGAACGTGTAAGAAGTCGTGTCCGTGAAAGAAGTCTTGTCCGTGTTAGAAGTCGTGTCCGCGTAAGAAGTCGTGTCCGTGAACGTGTAAGAAGTCGTGTCCGTGAAAGAAGTCTTGTCCGTGTTAGAAGTCGTGTCCGCGTAAGAAGTCGTGTCCGTGAACGTGTAAGAAGTCGTGTCCGTGAAAGAAGTCTTGTCCGTGTTAGAAGTCGTGTCCGCGTAAGAAGTCGTGTCCGTGAACGTGTAAGAAGTCCTGTCCGTGTAAGAAGTCGTGTCCGGGTAAGAAGTCCTGTCCGTGTAAGAAGTCCTGCCCGTGTAAGAAGTCCTGTCCGTGTAAGAAGTCTTGTCCGTGTAAGAAGTCGTGTCCGTGAACGTGTAAGAAGTCCTGTCCGTGTAAGAAGTCCTTTCCGTGTAAGAAGTCTTGTCCGTGTTAGAATTCGTGTCCGTGTAAGAAGTCGTGTCCGTGAAAGAAGTCTTGTCCGTGTTAGAAGTCGTGTCCGCGTAAGAAGTCGTGTCCGTGAACGTGTAAGAAGTCGTGTCCGTGAAAGAAGTCTTGTCCGTGTTAGAAGTCGTGCCCGTGTAAGAAGTCGTGTCCGTGTAAGAAGTCCTGTCCGTGTAAGTAGTCTTGTCCGTGTTAGAAGTATCTCAAAAACAGAAAACAAAATGTTAAATTAGGAAATTATGAAAGTACTTTTCAGGAACTATACAAAGGAGTCCCTCAGGGATCATTTTTAGGCCCAACCCTGGTCAAGATTTTCTTAAACGACATTTTCCACATCATACAACACTGTAAACTTTATAACTACGTTGATGACAATACAATTAGTAAAGCACACACTTCACTAACCGCAGTCAAAACCTCACTACAAACAAACTGCAATTTACTCATTCACTGGTTCGCAAACAATCATATGCAAGCAAACCTAGACAAATTTCAAGCCATGGCCATAGGAAACAAAGCACAAAATGAAAACATTACTTTCAACATAGGCAACAACACAATAAAATGTGAACCAGAAGTAAAATTACTAGGGGTCACCATAGAATTCCAGTTAATTTTTCATACACACGTATCCAACATCTGCAAAAAAGCATCTAGGCAGCTCAACTCACTCAAACGCATAGGATAACACCTTAACAGATTAGGCAAACTTACAATATATCATTCATTTATTCTCTCAAATTTTAATTTCTGTCCACTTACATGGCACTTTTGCGGTGAGACAATGCAAACATTCAAAAAATGGAAAAAATCCAAGAAAGGGCTTTAAAATTTATTTACGATGAACAAGAAAATACATATGAAAATTTACTAGCCCGCTCAAAATTACCATCACTCAAAATCAGACGACTCAGAAATTTTGCAATAGAAGTATCTAAAATCACAAATAAACAGACACCAACATACCTACACGACCTTATCAACATCACAGAAAAACCACATACATACCACATGTAAGGACTACAAAGTATGGTAAACACTCATTTCGATCTGAAGCACCTAAAATATGGAATGCCCTACCAGACCACTTCCTAAAAACAACTACACGAACACAATTTAGAACACTAGGAAAACAGCGGGTATGGGCCTAAATGCAAATGCAACACATGCAGACAAAACACATAGGCTCCCAATACAGTTATACATGTTTTTAGCTAAAGCTTACCTCTATTTATGTCACCTCTCTATTAGATAGTGCTCATCTTTTAATATGTTTATTGCCAAATATTTATTGTGTAACTGTGCATGTCATTTTATGTGTCGGTTTTAATGGCTCATTAGAGCTAATGTTGTATTGTTTTAACCATACCGACGTTAAATAAAACATTTGATTTGATTCGATATAGCAGTACTCGTCTTTGAAACACTTAACAACTGAAACACATGCTCAGTTCACATAGAAGTTTCTAGCGAGAATGTTTTAAATTTGGACACGTGTACAAAACACACTTTTGACATTTAGTACAGGGAATTCCCCGTCACCGAAATAATATACAGAGGGATATCCCATTGAGCATGCGCAATCCATTGAAACACGTCGCCGGAAGTTGCATTTTTAAGGGAGAGTGTAGCTCCAGTTACGAGCAAAAGTCGGTCAGCGATGATGTTTTGTCAATGTTTAAGGAGTGGACAGTGTCAAGAAACTTAACAATGAAAAGAAAACACTCACAATGGATCATATTCATGATCGTCGCCGAATTAGCGATGTAAGTATTGATTTTGGTCTTTCTGAACACCGATTTTATTGTAGCGTCAGATGACAGAACAGCGTGACACCGACTGATCGTTTTGTACACATTCACTGAGAGTATGTGAAATTAGGTCAGCGGACAGTTCATGCATTGTTCAAAGACTTTACTGACCGGAAACTACATCAACTTCAATTGAAGTCTATGTCCGCATTTAAAAATTATCACAGATAAAAAAAAACACCCACAGAAACTAGAGAGATAAATTCACTGTTTACGATTATAAACTGTACTGTACCTGTCACAAGTTGGATAAATTGTAAGATACCATAGAAGCCTGAAGTTCTGTCAATAATGAATAATAACAGTTATACAAAAAATACATATAATATGCTTTTGTATTACTGTTATTATTCATTATTGACAGAACTTCAGGCTCCTGTGAAGATACCTTGCTACTTTGCCTGCCAATGGGAAAACACCTAACAAGCTAGGCACCACTTGTAGTTCACTAATTGTTCATTTTAAAGATTTTTTTTATAATTCAAAATAATTTATATGTATATGATTTGTCCCATAAATTAATACTAGACTGCAGTTCAATATCTTAGGCCTACATCATTCAGTGTCACAGGTGCTGGGCACACAAATATATTTATATATATTTGTGTCCACCACCTGTATTCAGTGTCTGTTTAATTATCTATGTTTGACAAGTCAATGATGTATCCCAAAAATGCTTAATTTTGTATGTGAATTAAAACTCTTGGGATAATGGATTGTTGTGCACTGAAATCCACTCCCATGCCCCAATATATACAGAGTTATGGCCCTTTGTTCACTTTCCCCCCTGCATGGGCATGTCATATTGTCTGTCACTTAGGCTTTTCCAGGAATGATCAACGCATAGTATTTGTCACTTAGGCCAAAATTGCAGATTTTTTTCTTTGTTGGCACCTCATTGGATGACAGTATTGCATACTGTAACAGAGCCTTGTCCACGACTACATTTGTATATTACAGAGTTGTAGTCCTTTGTTAATTGCTTCACCTTGTTCGGGTCATATATCATATAATTTGTCACTTACCTACGTATACACTATACAATTGCTTAATCGTGTGAGGACCTCTTGGGATGATGGAGTGTTGCATACTGAAAGTTTTTTCCCCCCACTATATATACAGAGTTATGGCCCTTTGTTTATTGTGTGTCACATTGTTTAGGGTTTATATAAGTTGTCACCTTCAATCGCTACATTTTTAGTGTATGAAAACCTTTGGGGCATAGGGAATGCTACATACCTGCAGAATTATGTTTTCTTGTTGATTTCATGTATCAAGAATTGTTCAGGGGGTGGGGGGCATGATATGCTATCACGTAGTATGGATTACTATCACTACGTTGCTTTGGTATGCATTGCTTGTTATAATATGATATTGTAGACCAACCTTTCATCTGTGACTTCCAATGGAATGACAGGATGTAAACCTGTGCAGGATGGACCTCTGATGGTGGGGCTACTGTTCTGTTAAAGCTCTGTCTTTCTAAGAATATACTATACATGTATTCTGTTTTTATACTTTTCTCCAGTAATTATTTATACTGAGACAATGCTTGGTGAAGGTTATCTTCATGTTAGAAGATTTTGATTTGTTTATTGTTATATGGTTGTACATGTGAAATAAACAGACATTACAACACACCTTTATCTGACCTGTTCAAATAGCACAGGTGGATTTGGATCTGCAATAAAATATTGATATTTTCAACTTGAACATCAGATGTAAAGTCACTATGTGTGGTATCGCTTTTATCACCAAGGTACATACAAATTGTACCTGTTATTGAGTTGGATATTTCAGATTAAAAATACCCACAACTTGATTCTGATAATTTTGAAGTTTGAACCTTGGTATGAGCTATAATTCTAGTAGGTACAGGTTCTGTACTGCTGGCAGGTACAAGGTCATGAGGAGTGGTCAAAGGTCAAGGTCATGAGGAATGGTCAAAGGTCAAGCATAACTTCTTGCATTGTTATCTTAAGATTTTGTAATGAAACTTCATAGTTGTGTTTATTTTTTGTCATGGCAAAATGCTTCACGGACACTCATATATCAAGGTCAAGGTCATGGCACTGACAAGGAGTCAAATTTCGAATGATTATCATGGTTTTCAGTTTGATCCATCAGAATTTTAAGCTGAAAAAAATATATTTGTGTTTCTGGCTATATGTAGACAATTATCTTGACTTTGATAGTGCTTGTGTAAGATTGGTTCACAAACCTTTGGTTAAGGGAAGGCTGCCAAAAATAGGTTTGGTAGCTAGCAAAACTAGAAACACCAAAAAATATATAAGGCAAGAGTGAGCTCTGCTCATTTTGTTTTCATTGATGATTTAAGTGTGTATGACATTGATGATTTAAGTGTGTATGACATTGATGATTTAATTATAAGTGTGTATGACATTGATGATTTAAGTGTATATGACATTGATGATTTAAGTGTATATGAACATTGATGATTTAAGTGTGTATGACATTGATGATTTAAGTGTGTATGACATTGCTGATTTAAGTGTATATGGCATTGATGATTTAAGTGTGTATGACGTTGATGATTTAAGTGTATATGACATTGATGATTTAAGTGTATATGAACATTGATGATTTAAGTGTGTATGACATTGCTGATTTAAGTGTATATGACATTGATGATTTAAGTGTGTATGACATTGATGATTTAAGTGTGTATGACATTGTATGCATGTATTTTTCTAGTGAATTTGGTTGCAACTATGTTGAAGAAAGTGCACATTAAATATGACCGTCTAGAGCTGCCGTCAGCAGTCGGGAAGATAGAAACTGTTGTAGGCAATACCTGGCAGATGTTGTCTGCTATAATTACAAAAACGTTTTATGTCTGGTGTACGTCATAACATGCTGCATTACACATTTTGTTCAGATTTCAGAACTACCCTATTGCAATCTTCAGTATTTATGGGGTAATACAGCAAATGTGACTTCAAACATGATTGATATGCACAATCCATATATGTAAATGTACATGACAGCTCTGTCTGAGAGTTAGACATGAAAGATATTTAAATATAATGACCAAAACTGAAATATTGTGGAAAACAGCAAATGTTAATTAAACATAAATTTGATTAAGTCATGCTCATGTTTAAAAACGAAGTCCAGTAAGCTTTGTGTAGAGTGTTTGATCAGCAGATAAACATGTCTTATCTTCTGTTGGTCACATCCTGCTCAGTAATAGGTTCTAGGTTGAAATACAAGCATTAATAAACCATGGATCAAATAAATGTTTTGGAGTTTCTACATTATAGTAGAAGTTGTGTCTCCTTGGCTAATTAAGATTCATGAGCACCACATGATGCATTCCCTGTTTCCTGCTCATTTCCTGAGCACCACATGTGGCATCCTTTTGATTTACTGCAGACCACATGTGGCACCCCTTTGTATAACCAAGAACCACATGTGGCACCCCTTTGTATAACCAAGAACCACATGTGGCACCCCTTTGTATAACCAAGAACCTCATGTGACACCCCTTTGAATAACCAAGAACCACATGTGGTGTTTCCTTTTGATTTACTGCAGACCACTTGTGGCACCCCTATGTATAACCAAGAACCACATGTGCCCCCCCCCCCCCCTTTGTATAACCAAGAACCATATGTGGTGCTTCCTTCTATGACTAAGCACCATATGTGGCATCTCAACTCTTGCCAGCATCCCATCGTTTAACCTACAGACTTCTCTAATGCAGAAAACTTGTACCAGTATTGTGGTTCTTTGATATTTGAATGAACAGTTTTTAATACCGCATTGAGTTTTTGTATGGCTCAAGATTGCTGTACTGCTTCCCTTGTGTTGCATTGTTAGCCACAGGATTGGGAATCAGACCATCTCTGTAAAGCACTCCAGACTAATATCTCTGACAGCTTGGTAACATGCCAGTGTTTCAAAGACATTATTGATAGTGTCAGCAAATATCTTGTTGGTTGGAATCCAGACTTTCCCTCCAGTGAAATATGTTTATTTGGAAGGTTTTGTTGAGGGTTATTGTTAGGATTGTCCTTCTGTTGACCGAGTTCTGACCTGTTTGTACTACAGATAATACTGACATGGAGAGGTTATATATAACTTGATAGGTCGTAAAGGTTTGACTTTAAATTAAAGTTCTGAAGTCGATCAGTTTGCTTTTGGTTGTTATGTATGCAAGTGTAACTATTTAATGTACAGAACCAGATAAACTGTTTCACCTAGAGACACCCCCCTATAGGTGTGTATTGCTACAGGGTATACATGTCTACAAAGTACCAACTTAGTTATTTTTGGTATTGAAGATTTTTCCTTCAGGCCTGCTGTATTTATAAGTTAATTAAAAAGTCACCTTTAAACAGAGAAATATCAAAGTGGTACTGATGTGTAACACCACAGTCTGGTAGGGAGTACTAATGATATCGATCATCAAAGTGGTACCGATGTGTAACACCACAGTCTGGTAGGGAGTACTAATGCTATCTATCATCATGGAATAGACATAATTATTGACATAAACTATTATTCACATTTGAGACTTTCAAAGGGGCAAATTTGAAAAATCACCCACTTTTTCAATTGAGAATGAGTCCTTTATATGAACCTAAAAGGTATCCTAATAAACAACTGGTTTAGATGCCTAACAATGTTTATGTGTGTGTTGATTTAAATGTAGGAGTGTCATGGTACATCTTTGTAATTACAGTATATAACCTTCAGGTCACTTACAAAGAAATCTCTACCGGTTAATGTCTGCATACATTACTGGCTGAAGTTTGTTATAAGTCTGAAACTTAAATTCTTTCCGACAAAAGTCACACTTAGACCTGAACATATATAAACAAATATATATATGAAGTGACATTTTGGAGATTTGATTTTTTTTGTTTTTAAAGGGGAAGGTTTTAATATATAAGTCAGTAATTGTATAATGTCGTTAGCTATATAACTATAACCGAGCTAGAACAAAAGGGCCGATCAGTAATTATATAATGTTGTTAGCTATATAAATATAACCAAGCTAGAACAAGAGGGCCGGTCAGTAATTATATAATGTTGTTAGCTATATATATATAACCGAGCTAGAACAAGAGGGCCGATCAGTAATTATATAATGTTGTTAGTTATATAACTATAACCGAGCTAGAACAAGATAGCCGATCAGTAATTATATAATGTTATTAGCTATATATATATAACCGAGCTAGAACAAGATGGCCGATCAGTAATTATATAATGTTGTTAGTTATATAACTATAACCGAGCTAGAACAAGATAGCCGATCAGTAATTATATAATGTTGTTAGTTATATAAATATAACCGAGCTAGAACAAGAGGGCCGATCAGTAATTATATAATGTTGTTAGCTATATAAATATAACCGAGCTAGAACAAGATAGCCGATCAGTAATTTTATCGCACCTCGGACAAAAATGTCCAAAAACCATTGGTTTAGAGCTGTAACATGGTGACCCTCTAATTTTCTATAGAGGGTTAGTAGGATTCCATTATAGGGCAATATGGCTGCCCATTGCTCACCGCTTCAAAACTAAAACAACAGATACAGGTACCTGAATATATGTTAACGATCTGTGTGATATCTTGTTCCAAGGACAAAAAAACTGTTACATGTTATGTTTTTGTTATATAGTTTATTTTATTTTCATTTATCAAAGTTGATTTAATTTGTTAAATATTCATATTGATTTGTTATGCATTACATCATTTTCATTTTAAGCAAAAATGGTCCTCGATGCGATAAATTTGTTATATAGTCAGTTACTGACCATCTACAGAACCATAGAGGGTCAGTAAGATTTATAGGGGGTGAGGGCGGACCGGCCTGTACATTTCAAACCATTAAAGATATCTTAATCAAACTTGAAATATACCTGCATCACCCACAGAAGATGTGCAGTGCACTGGAACTAGGTCTCGTGCTACACTATATACAGAGTTATGGCCCTTTGTTTAATTTTAATACCGAAGTTTGTCCAGAGCATAAGTTCTATGTTATTTCACCTACGTTGACCATACTTACCATATTGATGTACCTGGGGAAGGTGGAATTTCTCACCTTAAAATCAGATTTTATGCCCCACAATATACAGAGTTATGGCCCTTTGTTTACTTTTAATACCGAAGTTTGTCAATGGCATAACTTCTAAACCATTAAAGATATCTTAATCAAATTTAAAGTATACCTGCATCACTCACAGAAGGTGTGCTGTGCACTGTAATTAGGTCGTGCGTCACTATATACAGGGTTATGGCCCTTTGTTTATTTTTAATACCGAAGTTTGTCCACAGCATAACTTCCATGTTATTAGGGCCCCGCATCAAAGATGCGGGTGCCCTATACTAATTCATCCGTTCATCCGTCACAATCAAACAAGGTATCAACTGATCAAAGGTCAAGGTAACTGGGTCAAAGGTCAAGGTCAAATTTTGTATCTTTTCACTGATGAACATTTTGTTATGACATTATGAAGCAAAGTTGGTTGGAATTTAACAAAGAGTCAACTGACTTAAGGTCAAGGTCACTGGGTCAATTTAAAGGTCAAATATTGATTCTTTTTACTGATGAACATTTTTTGTTTGTTATTATGAAGCAAAGTTGTTCAGAACTTAACACAGAGTCAACTAACCAAAGGTCAAGGTTTCGGGTTCCAAAGGTTCAAGGTCAAGGTCTAGTTTTGTATTTTTTTACTGATGAGATGAACATTTTGTTATGATATTCTGAAGCAAAATTGGTCGGAATTGAAGAATGAGTCAACTGACCAAAGATCAGGGTCACTGGGTTAAAGGTCATTTAGGTCCAAAGGTCCAAAGGTCAAAGACAAAGTGGATCTCTTACTTTGACCCTGGCTCTTGATGGGGGAAGTATTTAAGGTGAAATAAAACAAATCAAAGCTAAAAAATGAGTATTGCACCGGTATTTACATTTCTGTTAGCCCAGCAAATATGGAAGTGGAAGGAATCAAGACTTACATCATAGTACATGTAAAATGTATATTTTGCTTCCTTGTGATTGTTTTTGAAGTCCAAATGTCAAACGTCAAGTTCAGCTATATGGGCAGATTGCTTCTTGATGATTATGGGGGATATATTGCCACAAGACGGGGCCCTTACTGACCTGTCAGTGTTCTAGTTTGCCTTGATGATTATGGGGGATATATTGCCACAAGACGGGGCCCTTACTGACCTGTCAGTGTTCTAGTTTGTCTTGATGATTATGGGGGATATATTGCCACAAGACGGGGCCCTTACTGACCTGTCAGTGTTCTAGTTTGTCTTGATGATTATGGGGGATATATTGCCACAAGACGGGGCCCTTACTGACCTGTCAGTGTTCTAGTTTCACCTACGTTGACCAAACTTGCTAAAGTTTTAATGTATCTTGGGTAAGTAGGAGGGTCAAATTCTAAATTTGGGTCTCGTGCCCCACTATATAAAGCGATATGGCCCTTTGTTAATTTTTTATACCAGAGTTTTTCTATTGGCTAATAAGGGGAGATATATGTTTTTGTTCACAAAAACAAAATTCTAGTAATATATTGTCGTTAGCTATATGAATATAACCGAGCTAGAACAAGAGGGCCAAGGAGGAAATATCTGTGTGAGTTGTGGTGAGGAAGTTCGTTAATTTTATTGAGAGCATTTTCACTGATAATGGTGGGGAGGAAGTCACTTATGGGTGAGGAATGACGTAACTTACTGGTCTGATGGTTGAGGTAGAACGTTTACTGATGGTTGGAAGCTTTAAGAGGAAGCTAGAGGGAAATTCACTGATGGTTTAGGAAGAACTTTTGCTGATGGTTGGAAGAGGGAGTTAGAGGGAAAGTCACTGATGGTTTATAGGAAATTCTTACTGATGGTTGAAGAAGACTTTTACTGATGGTAAAATGAACAGAAAACAAATTTCATCAGCTAATCATAAATTGTTGTCTAGTTACTTGGAGGAATGCCAGTACAATACATTTATTGCATGTCTGCCCCTGGAGCTGAATGATAAATGATGCCAAAAATAAACCAGATTTAAAATCTGTTCCTTGCCGTATGTACTGCTTAGAGCATATTTAATCTGTATTGAGAAATAAAAAGTTGACGGACAGTAGTGAATACATAGTGGTGGATTGTTATTTTACAATTCAACATGTTCCTTAATGAAAAGGATTTGACAATAGGTTCAGTAAAGGGATCCGATTATTGGTGATCCTGCTCCAACATTACCCGGCCTTGACAGCCAGGTCTTGGTCCACTATAATTTAGAAATGTACATCAAGTCAAATTGATTAGGTCTGCCCATGTCAACCGGTATACTATTACATATATATGGGGCAAAGAAGCATATAGCATGCTGGGCTTATATAGCATGCTGGGCTTATATATAGCATGCAAACCCTATTACAGTGGTGGCACCTGCTGTCACTTAGTATACAGTGATATTTAGCTGACAAATTCAAATTGAGGATTAAACACATGTTACCTAGTGAGATACAGAGATACAGACTAGGTTGGTGGCTACGTCCTGGACCTTGTACACCCTAGCTAGCTATAGTTTGTGTTACAGTGACACCAGCGGTAACCTTCTAGATCCGAGCACACTGACCTGTACACAGTTAATGTACACATCTACCTATCATTATCAAATCATTTTATCACAGGTACACTGACCATGTTTTGTTTTACCCCACTTCAGCCTATTATCTCCTAGTCACGATATAAACAGGTGTATCTTTACAAATGACTACCTGAGTATTATTTATTTTTTGAGAGTTTGCCAGTAACAAGTAATGCTATTTATTTCACTATATAAAAGAAACTTTTAGACAAAAACTGACAGAGTAATTTCCTGGCAATGTGTTGACCTCCTGGTAATTGGCAGTCTGAACCCATTTGCATTGACCAATAGCTCCTACCCTGTATCTACCGTATGTGTTTATCCAATCTGATCCCTGGCTTGCTATGTGTTAACCCATCCCTGATCCTTGGTCAGTCTGATCCCTGGATTGTTTTTTGTTAACCCATTCCTGATCCTTGGTCAGTCTGGTCCCTGGCCTGCTATGTGTTGACCACTCCAGGTATTTGGACAGTCTGATTCCTGGCCTGCTATGTGTTGACCACTCCAGGTCTTTGTTAAGTCTGATTCCTGGTCTGCTTTGTGTTGACCACTCCAGGTCTTTGGTCAGCCTGGTCCCTGGCCTGCTATGTTCTGACTCATTCCAATCTTGGTCAGTCTGATTCCTGGCCTGCTATATAATGTGTTGACCAATCCAGGTATTTGGACAGTCTGATTCCTGACCTTGTATGTGTTGACCACTCCTGGTCTTTGGTAAGTCTGGTCCCTGGCCTGCTATGTGTTGACCTGTCCAGGTCTTTGGTCAGCCTGATTCCTGGCCTGCTTGTGTTGACCACTCCAGGTCTTTGGTCAGCCTGATCGATGGCCTGCTATGTGTTGACCACTCCAGGTCTTTGGTCAGCCTGATTCCTGGCCTGCTTTGTGTTGACCACTCCAGGTCTTTGGTCAGTCTGATTCCTGGCCTGCTTTGTGTTGACCACTCCAGGTATTTGGACAGTCTGATTCCTAGCCTTATAGGTGTTGACCACTCCAGGTCTTTGGTCAGTCTGATTCCTGGCCTGCTTTGTGTTGACCACTCCAGGTCTTTGGTCAGTCTGATTCCTGGCCTGCTATGTATTGACCCATCTATAAACATGTCTGTATTTGTCATCCCTTCTAGCCCTGGCAAGTTTCCAGTCCTGCCTGCTATTAGTTGGTGTCTGCTTGTTATTGGCCAGTCTCTGATCTCTGATTCATCTGTAGGTGTTTGACTATTCCTGTTGTTTTTTATTTGTCCTTATCACCGATCCACTGACCAGCAGCTGTTGTCAAGATAAATATTATTGATATTTGTTTTTTTGTGTTTGTAGACTTGGCGTTTTATCAGAAAATGATGGAGCAACTGTCGCCAAAGTAAGCAGTCAGACAGAAAAAGAGGGTAAATCCGAGGCTGCTGAGGGGGAGACCAATGTAAGATCAATCTTGGTGTATGCTGAATAAAGACGGTTTAGCCTACAATTGTATACAAGTCTTTCCATTGATTTCACCCTCTATAGTTATTCAGAATAATTTGAAGGAAAGATTTTGGAGACCTACATCACTTAATGCAAATCTTAATCCCTTCATTGGAAGCCTGTTTAAAGTGTTATATGTATTTGGTAAAAAATGTTATATATTATCAGGTTTAGTGTGTTAACGTACCTCTGTTTAATATGTGAACATACCCCTGGTTAATGTGTTAATGTACCCCTGGTTAATGTGTTAGTGTACCCCTGGTTAATGTGTTAGTGTACACCTGGTTAATGTGTTAGTGTACCCTGGTTTATGTGTTAGTGTACACCTGGTTTATGTTTTAGTGTACACCTGGTCAATGTGTTAGTGTACGCCTGGTTTATGTGTTAGTGTACACCTGGTTAATGTGTTAGTGTATCCCTGGTTAATGTGCCTGGTGAATGTGTACACCTGGTTAATGTGTTAGTGTACCCTGGTTAATGTGTTAGTGTACACCTGGTTAATGTGTTAGTGTATCCCTGGTTAATGGGTTAGTGTATCCCTGGTTAATGTGTTAGTGTACACCCGGTTAATGTGTTAGTGTATCCCTGGTTAATGTGCCTGGTGAATGTGTACACCTGGTTAATGTGTTAGTGTACCCTGGTTTATGTGTTAGTGTACACCTGGTTTATGTTTTAGTGTACACCTGGTCAATGTGTTAGTGTACCCCTGGTCAATGTGTTAGTTTACCCCTGGTTAATGGGTTAGTGTACCTCTGGTTAATGTGTTAGTGTACCCCTGGTGAATGTATCCCTGGTTAATGTGTTAATGCACCCCCGGTGAATGTGTGAATGTAACCCTGGTGAATGTGTTCCCCTGGTTAATGTGTTAGTGTACCCCTGGTCAGTGTGTTAGTTAATATGTGAACATACCCCTGGTTAATGTGTTAATGTACCCCTGGTTAATGTGTTAGTGTGCCCCTGGTTAATGTGTTAATGCGCCCCCGGTGAATGTGTTAATGTAACCCTGGTGAATGTGTACACCTGGTTAATGTGTTAGTGTACCCCTGGTTAATTTGTTAGTGTACCCCTGGTTAATGTGTTAGTGGATCCCTGGTTAATGTGTTAGTGTATCCCTGGTTAATGTGTAAGTGTACCCCTGGTTAATGTGTTAGTGTACCGTGTTAGTGTATCCCTGGTTAATGTGTTAGTTTACCCCTGGTTAATGTGTTAGTGTACCTCTCGTTAATGTGTTAGTGTACCCCTGGTCAATGTGTTAGTTTACCCCTGGTTAATGGGTTAGTGTACCTCTGGTTAATGTGTTAGTGTACCCCTGGTCGATGTGTTAGTGTACCCCTGGTTAATGTGTTAATGCACCCCCGGTGAATGTGTGAATGTAACCCTGGTGAATGTGTTCCCCTGGTTAATGTGTTAGTGTACCCCTGGTCAGTGTGTTAGTTAATATGTGAACATACCCCTGGTTAATGTGTTAATGTTCCCCTGGTTAATGTGTTAGTGTTCCCCTGGTTAATGTGTTAGTGTATCCCTGGTTAATGGGTTAGTGTACCCCTGGTGAATGTATCCCTGGTTAATGTGTTAATGCACCCCCGGTGAATGTGTTAATGTAACCCTGGTGAATGTGTACACCTGGTTAATGTGTTAGTGTACCCTGGTTCATGTGTTAGTGTACACCTGGTTAATGTGTTAGTGTATCCCTGGTTAATGTGCCTGGTGAATGTGTACACCTGGTTAATGTGTTAGTGTACCCTGGTTCATGTGTTAGTGTACACCTGGTTAATGTGTTAGTGTATCCCTGGTTAATGGGTTAGTGTATCCCTGGTTAATGTGTTAGTGTACACCCGGTTAATGTGTTAGTGTATCCCTGGTTAATGTGTTAGTGTATCCCTGGTTAATGTGCCTGGTGAATGTGTACACCTGGTTAATGTGTTAGTGTCCCCTGGTTAATGTGTTAGTGTACACCTGGTTAATGTGTTAGTGTATCCCTGGTTAATGGGTTAGTGTATCCCTGGTTAATGTGTTAGTGTACACCCGGTTAATGTGTTAGTGTATCCCTGGTTAATGGGTTAGTGTATCCCTGGTTAATGTGTTAGTGTACCCCTGGTTAATGTGTAAGTGTATCCCTGGTTAATGTGTTAGTGTACACCCGGTTAATGTGTTAGTGTACACCTGGTCAATGTGTTAGTGTACACCTGGTTTATGTGTTAGTGTACACCTGGTTAATGTGTTAGTGTACCCCTGGTTAATGTGTTAGTGTACCCCTGGTCAATGTGTTAGTGTACACCTGGTTTATGTGTTAGTGTACACCTGGTTAATGTGTTAGTGTACCCTGGTTAATGTGTTAGTGTACACCTGGTCAATGTGTTAGTGTACCCCTGGTTAATGTGGTAGTGTATCCCTGGTTAATGTGTTAGTGTACACCCGGTTAATGTGTTAGTGTACCCCTGGTCAATGTGTTGTTAATGTGTTAGTGTACCCCTGGTGAATGTATCCCTGGTTAATGTGTTAGTGTATCACTGGTTAATGTGTTAATGTACCCCTGGTTAATGTGTTAGTGTACCTCTGGTTAATGTGTTAATGTATCCCTGGTTAATGTGTTAGTGTACCCCTGGTGAATGTATCCCTGGTTAATGTGTTAATGCACCCCCGGTGAATGTGTTAGTGTATCCCTGGTTAATGTGTTAGTGTACCCCTGGTTAATGTGTTAGTGTACCCCTGGTTAATGTGTTAGTGTACCCCTGGTTAATGTGTTAGTGTACCCCTGGTGAATGTATCCCCGGTGAATGTGTTAATGTAACCCTGGTGAATGTGTACACCTGGTTAATGTGTTAGTGTACCCCCGGTGAATGTGTTAGTGTACCTCTGGTTAATGTGTTAGTGTACCCCTGGTTAATGTGTGAGTGTACCCCTGGTTAATGTGTTAGTGTACCGTGTTAGTGTATCCCTGGTTAATGTGTTAGTGTACACCTGGTTAATGTGTTAGTGTACCCCTGGTTCATGTGTTAGTGTACCCCTGGTGAATGTACCCCTGGTTAATGTGTTAGTGTACCCCCGGTTAATGTGTTAGTGTACCCCTGGTTAATGCGTTAGTGTACCCCTGGTTAATGTGTTAGTGTATCCCTAGTTAATGTGTTAGTGTATCCCTGGTTAATGTTTTAGTGTACCCCTGGTTAATGTGTTAGTGTACACCTGGTTAATGTGTTAGTGTACCCTGGTTAATGTGTTAGTGTACACCTGGTTAATGTGTTAGTGTACCCCCGGTGAATTGTGTTAGTGTACACCTGGTTTATGTGTTAGTGTACACCTGGTTAATGTGTTAGTGTACCCCCGGTGAATGCGTTAGTGTACCTCTGGTTAATGTGTTAGTGTATCCCTGGTTAATGGGTTAGTGTATCCCTGGTTAATGTGTTAGTGTACAGCCGGTTAATGTGTTAGTGTATCCCTGGTTAATGGGTTAGTGTACCCCTGGTTAATGTGTTAGTGTATCCCTGGTTCATGTGTTAGTGTACCCCTGGTTAATGTGTTAGGGTATCCCTGGTTAATGTGTTAGTGTATCCCTGGTTAATGGGTTAGTGTATCCCTGGTTAATGTGTTAGTGTACAGCCGGTTAATGTGTTAGTGTATCCCTGGTTAATGTTTTAGTGTACCCCTGGTTAATGTGTTAGTGTATCCCTGGTTCATGTGTTAGTGTACCCCTGGTTAATGTGTTAGGGTATCCCTGGTTAATGTGTTAGTGTATCCCTGGTTCATGTGTTAGTGTACCCCTGGTTAATGTGTTAGTGTATCCCTAGTTAATGTGTTAGTGTATCCCTGGTTAATGTGTTAGTGTATCCCTGGTTCATGTGTTAGTGTACCCCTGGTTAATGTGTTAATGTACCCCTGGTTAATGTGTTAATGCACCCCCGGTGAATGTGTTAATGTAACCCTGGGGAATGTGTACACCTGGTTAATGTGTTAGTGTACCCCTGGTTAATGCGTTAGTGTACCCCTGGTTAATGTGTTAGTGTATCCCTAGTTAATGTGTTAGTGTATCCCTGGTTAATGTTTTAGTGTACCCCTGGTTAATGTGTTAGTGTACCGTGTTAGTGTATCCCTGGTTAATGTGTTAGTGTACACCCGGTTAATGTGTTAGTGTATCCCTGGTTAATGGGTTAGTGTATCCCTGGTTAATGTGTTAGTGTTCCCCTGGTTAATGTGTTAGTTTTCCCCTGGTTAATGTGTTAGTGTTCCCCTGGTTAATGTGTTAGTGTACCTCTGGTTAATGTGTTAGTGTATCACTGGTTAATGTGTTAGTGTACCCCTGGTTAATGTGTTAGTGTACCCCTGGTTAATGTGTTAGTGTACCTCTGGTTAATGTGTTAGTGTACACCCGGTTAATGTCTTTTTAACAATTTATCTAAATTTTCATAAGGCCCGTGCTAACTCTGATAACATTGAATTTACAACTTCATTATTTACTCCTTTATAACCCAGATAATCAATCTGAACCTTTATTTGAAATCCTTTACTCTTATATCTTATCATGTTGTTGATTCAAGTTTTGTGATAATTCCAGAGGGAATCAAAGGGAAATATTTTTTACTCACAACACACAATTATCCCATATATAGCAAGTACATCTACTTCCTATATTTGTAAATATTTCATTAAAATGAATATAACAAAGTACATGTATTTTGTGTAAATGGAAGGAAAACTGAGTGTATGTTTCCTTTTAACAATTAGCAGCCAGTTTTATATCCCTGTTACAGTGCGGTATTGGAGTCTGCCTTTACTTACATGATTGTACTAGGGACTAGGGAAAAAAAATATTTGAAACTGAAAAACAAAAGCCTTTTATTATTGTAGTCGGCCTTTCACCAACTTATTAAAATCTCAACATTTTCTGAAGTATAGAAGTCTGCTTTTGACTTCTATCATTTAGTTTTGATTTATGGTATCAATCAGGCTGACANTTAAAGGTCTGAGCTAACATTAATATTCAATTATAGCCTTTGGCTGAGGTAAATCCAGGTATTGACCGAAGTTAAAGGTCTGAGCTAACATTAATATTCAATTATAGCCTTTGGCTGAGGTAAATCCAGGTATTGACCGAAGTTAAAGGTCTGAGCTAACATTAATATTCAATTATAGCCTTTGGCTGAGGTAAATCCAGGTATTGACCGAAGTTAAAGGTCTGAGCTAACATTAATATTCAATTATAGCCTTTGGCTGAGGTAAATCCAGGTATTGACCGAAGTTAAAGGTCTGAGCTAACATTAATATTCAATTATAGCCTTTGGCTGAGGTAAATCCAGGTATTGACCGAAGTTAAAGGTCTGAGCTAACATTAATATTCAATTATAGCCTTTGGCTGAGGTAAATCCAGGTATTGACCGAAGTTAAAGGTCTGAGCTAACATTAATATTCAATTATAGCCTTTGGCTGAGGTAAATCCAGGTATTGACCGAAGTTAAAGGTCTGAGCTAACATTAATATTCAATTATAGCCTTTGGCTGAGGTAAATCCAGGTATTGACCGAAGTTAAAGGTCTGAGCTAACATTAATATTCAATTATAGCCTTTGGCTGAGGTAAATCCAGGTATTGACCGAAGTTAAAGGTCTGAGCTAACATTAATATTCAATTATAGCCTTTGGCTGAGGTAAATCCAGGTATTGACCGAAGTTAAAGGTCTGAGCTAACATTAATATTCAATTATAGCCTTTGGCTGAGGTAAATCCAGGTATTGACCGAAGTTAAAGGTCTGAGCTAACATTAATATTCAATTATAGCCTTTGGCTGAGGTAAATCCAGGTATTGACCGAAGTTAAAGGTCTGAGCTAACATTAATATTCAATTATAGCCTTTGGCTGAGGTAAATCCAGGTATTGACCGAAGTTAAAGGTCTGAGCTAACATTAATATTCAATTATAGCCTTTGGCTGAGGTAAATCCAGGTATTGACCGAAGTTAAAGGTCTGAGCTAACATTAATATTCAATTATAGCCTTTGGCTGAGGTAAATCCAGGTATTGACCGAAGTTAAAGGTCTGAGCTAACATTAATATTCAATTATAGCCTTTGGCTGAGGTAAATCCAGGTATTGACCGAAGTTAAAGGTCTGAGCTAACATTAATATTCAATTATAGCCTTTGGCTGAGGTAAATCCAGGTATTGACCGAAGTTAAAGGTCTGAGCTAACATTAATATTCAATTATAGCCTTTGGCTGAGGTAAATCCAGGTATTGACCGAAGTTAAAGGTCTGAGCTAACATTAATATTCAATTATAGCCTTTGGCTGAGGTAAATCCAGGTATTGACCGAAGTTAAAGGTCTGAGCTAACATTAATATTCAATTATAGCCTTTGGCTGAGGTAAATCCAGGTATTGACCGAAGTTAAAGGCTACAATTGTTTTATTATTTTAAAAAACAGTAATGTAAGCAATCTGAAGAAAAGAAAAAAAAAGCTTCGGAATTGGGACGGTGCATTGTTTGGAGACACGTCATAATTCTATTTTTAGAAACACCCAGTCCTTCAACAATAATCACTTGCTCCAAGTCAATGTCGGTTTGTATCGGTGGACACGTGATGCACTCCTGGCCAATCATTTGTCGGGAATAATATGAAAAAATAATAAGGTCTGTTATTCAATGTAATATTGAGATCTGCCATTAACTGAAGTATTGAAATCTGCCATTACCATTAACTTAAAGTTTTGAGCTAATATTGAGATCTGCCATTAACTGAAGTATTGAAATTTGCCTTTAGATATAGTAAATCTTCTTTTAGATGTAGTACTGATGCTTAAGTCTGTCATTAGATATAGATTTGGGGTCTGTCTTCACTATTATAAGTGCTGAAGCCTGGTATTAACATCCCTGTAACCCTACGATAACACCTGTTACAGATTCCTGTAGATCCTGGAGGATTACAGCCTGACCCACCATCAGGGACAACGAAGGACACTCAAGTAGGTAGCTCTCTCTTAACCGACAAAAATGAAAGTTTTACGCATAATGGTATTAAACTGTGTGGACGTTACTGGTTCTGAAAGCTGTACTATTGATACGTGATGTTTGTGTGGGTGTAGTGTGGTGTTGTTACTGTGACTATCTACAGACCTATATAGCTGAGTACTTCGCTGGCATTAACTGGTCTATAAAGGGTTGGCTATATTACATACATGGCCTACTGTCATTGACTGGTCTATTAGGGACTGGCTATATTACATACATGGCCTACTGTCATAGACTGGTCTATAAAGGGTTGGCTATATTACATACATGGCCTACTGTCTTTGACTGGTCTATAAGGGGCTGGCTATATTACATACATGGCCTACTGTCATTGACTGGTCTATTAAGGACTGGCTATATTACATACATGGCCTTCTGTCATTGACTGGTCTATAGGGGCTGGCTATATTGCATACATGGCCTACTGTCATTGACTGGTCTATAAGGGACTGGCTATATTACATACATGGCCTTCTGTCATTGACTGGTCTATTAGGGACTGTCTATATTACATACATGGCCTACTGTCAAAGACTGGTCTATAAAGGGTTGGCTATATTACATACATGTCCTACTGTCATAGACTGGTCTATAAAGGGTTGGCTATATTACAGACATGGCCTACTGTCTTTGACTGGTCTATAAAGGGCTGGCTATAGTATATTACATACATGGCCTACTGTAATAGACTGGTCTATAAGGGACTGGCTATATTACATACATGGCCTACTGTCATTGACTGGTCTATAGGGGCTGGCTATATTACATACATGGCCTACATCCATTAACTGATCTATAAAAGGCCTGGCTATATTACATACATGGCCTACTGCTATTGACTGGTCTATAAAGGGGCTGGCTATATTACATACATGGCCTACTGTCATTGACTGGTCTATAAAGGGCTGGCTATAGTATATTACATACATGGCCTACTGTAATAGACTGGTCTATAAGGGGCTGGCTATATTACATACATGGCCTACTGTCATTGACTGATCTATAAAGGGCTGGCTATAGAATATTACCTACATGGCCTACTGTCATAGACTGGTCTATAAAGGGCTGACTATATTACATACATGGCCTACTGTCATTGACTGGTCTATAAAGGGGCTGGCTATATAAATTTATATACTTGGCCTACTTTCATTGACTGGTCTATAGTGACTGGCTATATTACATACATGGCCTACGTCCATTGACTGGTCTATAAGGGGCTGGCTATGTTACATACATGGCCTACTGTTATTGACTGGTCTATAGGGGCTGGCTATATTACATACATGGCCTACTGTCATTGACTGGTCTATAAAGGGCTGGCTATAGTATATTACATACATGGGCTACTGTCATTGACTGGTCTATAAGGGACTGGCTATATTACATACATGGCCTACTGTCATTGACTGGTCTATAAGGGGTTGGCTATAGTATATTACATACATGGCCTACTGTCATTGACTGGTCTTTAAGGGACTGGCTATATTACATACATGGCCTACTGTCATTGACTGGTCTATAAGGGCTGGCTATATTACATACATGGCCTACATCCATTAACTGATCTATAAAAGGCCTGGCTATATTACATACATGGCCTACTGCTATTGACTGGTCTATAAAGGGGCTGGCTATATTACATACATGGCCTACTGTCATTGACTGGTCTATAAAGGGCTGGCTATAGTATATTACATACATGGCCTACTGTAATAGACTGGTCTATAAGGGGCTGGCTATATTACATACATGGCCTACTGTCATTGACTGATCTATAAAGGGCTGGCTATAGAATATTACCTACATGGCCTACTGTCATAGACTGGTCTATAAAGGGCTGACTATATTACATACATGGCCTACTGTCATTGACTGGTCTATAAAGGGGCTGGCTATATAAATTTATATACTTGGCCTACTGTCATTGACTGGTCTGTAGTGACTGGCTATATTACAAACATAGCCTACATCCATTGACTGGTCTATAAGGGGCTTGCTATATTACATACATGGCCTACTGTCATTGACTGGTCTATAAAGGGGCTGGCTATATAAATTTATATACATGGACTACTTTCATTGACTGGTCTATAGTGACTGGCTATATTACATACATGGCCTACGTCCATTGACTGGTCTATAAGGGGCTGGCTATGTTACATACATGGCCTACTGTTATTGACTGGTCTATAAAGAGCTGACTATATTACATACATGGCCTACTGTTATTGACCGGTCTATAAAGGGCTGGCTATATTACATACATGGCCTACTGTCATTGACTGGTCTATAAGGGGCTGGCTATATTACATACATGGCCTACTGTCATTGACTGGTCTATAAGGGACTGGCTATATTACATACATGGCCTACTGTCATTGACTGGTCTATAACTTGAGGGGCTGGTTATTAGTTATTGGCCTACTGTCATTGACTGGTCTATAACTTGAGGGGCTGGTTAGTAGTTATTGGTCTACTGTCATTGACTGGTCTATAAGGGGCTGGCTATATTACATACATGGCCTACTGTCATTGACTGGTCTATAACTTGAGGGGCTGGTTAATAGTTATTGGTTATTAATTAGGTACCAGTTGAGCTTATGGTATCCAATGGTTTGTTGTCCGTCATCTGTTGTTTGTCCATCGTCTGTCAATTATTTCTTTGAATAACTTTTTCTTAAGAACTAGAGGACCCAGGGGCATGACAGTTGGCCAGTAAGTACCTGGAACAGAGTGCTATAAAGGTTCCTCTAGTAAATGACCTTGAACTTCTTTCAAGGTCACTTGGGTCAAATATATAAAAACCTTTTAAACAACTTCTCCTGAATAATCAGGAGGCCCAGGGCCATGATATTTTGCCAATAGGTACCTAGTATGGAATGCTATAAAGTTTCCCCAAATAAATGACCTTGACCTACTTCCAAGGTCAAAGGTGTCAAATATGTAGAAACCTTTGAACAACTTTCCTGCATTACCAGGAGGCCCTTGGTGATGATATTTGATCAGTAGCAAGCTGGGATAGAGAAGTATAAAGTTTCCATTAGTCTAGAACATTCTTAAGCCTAGGAGACTATGTATATGGAAATATTTGCAAAATTACTTTTATTAAGAATATTTTCCCATGATTGCTCAAATATTCAAGTGAGCTATATAGGCCCTCTTGTATTACATATATGGCCTACATCCATTGACTTGTCTATAAATAAGGAGCTGGCTATATTTCATACATGACCTACTAATCTATAAGACATCTGTCATATTGATTATTTACGTAGGTCTCATTTGCATAACTGTCCTAGTACTTTATGAGAAGCTATTTTGTGTTTACTCAGCTGTAAACCTGTAGGTAAACTCTAGATACATAGTATATATCAGGTGTCATTTTGTATTGATATTACCTGTTCTAGATTCTCTGTTCTCTTTGACAAAGTATCCGTCAAACATTTACAGTGTTGACACATACACATCCCAGCAATATAATATTTATTTCATTTTTAATCCATTGAGGAATAGTATATCTGATCTTACTTGTCTAACCTAAAAAATGCATTCCACAATTGTTTTAATTGAAGATGGTGTACATTTGATGTCATTCAGAAGGAGGTACATTTAGATATTTAAAAAATCATAAAAACCAACATTGCCCTGCAAGGTATATACCAACTGTCAGCTTTGTCTGTGTGGATGTGAGTGTTACAGTGTTAAGAGTTGTATAGGCACTTCAGTGATATCTTACAATGCAAACAAAAGTATTCATCTATAAATTACACTGCAGATTTACATTTGACAAAACCTACATTTTATGGTGAATTCTGTACAGCTAGTAGATATGTTGAAAATATTGGATTACATATTTCATTAACATTCAGGTCATGATTGAATGTTTATCATGTATAGATGTAGAGAAAGTGTTGATATGGATCATACTACAAAATTATCCTATACATTTGTATATAGATGTGTAGAAACTCTTGATCATACAAATGCTGTATGGTAGACTTTGGTGTCATCTATACCATTATGTTGACTACCCTAATTGTCAAAGATAACATCAGAGATTTATAGGAGGCAACAGCTTGACTCATCACTTTTAAGCTAATATGAATATCCATGAATATAATGATTTTAGAGTTTAAAAAAAAAGTTTTGCTGGTCAAAAGAGACTTGTGTTTGTACTAAAACACCTCTCATCTCTTTCTTGTGTAAATTCACTTATTTTCAAAATGCTCCGACCTAGAAAGGGGTCAAGTAATACCCAGGTGTCAAAATGTAGCACTGGAGCAGTCTTCTGTAGTCAGATAGCCTAGACCTCTACAACTTCGTAACTTCTTTAACACGGTCAATTATAGAAAATAGTCAGACTTTTATAACGGGAAATCATTTGTAAAAATGGGGGCTACCAGACCAAAGTATAGCACAAGTTGTAATGGTTAAGAAACAGTTTGTCAAGTTTGACAATCCTATTAAAACCTCATACACATGTACAGCAGCATTGTCTGCATGTGTGTGTTTGTGAGTCTGAATTTATAGGTTAGAATCAATCCTAGGGGAAGGACAAATGGCCACACCTAGGCTATATATGGTTATACCTATTATTTCAGATTAGATATAGAACAGGCCTATGTATTTTAATGGAGTAATTCAGGCCTATGAACATCTTTCCTGTTTATGGGAATACGTCTGACTTTGTTTTGTTCTCTACAGAATATTAAGTCTGAGGATGCGTTGGATGAGAAAAAGTCTGCTGTTGAGACAGAAAAAGACAAAGAGGAGGAGGAGAGCAACCACAGGTAAAGTCTTTATTCTACCCCTGAACATAAGGTAACTCCTGTCTGTCCCTGGAGTCTAACAGAGAATATAGACTTAAGGTAACTTATGTCTGTCTCTGGAGTCTAACAGTGAATGTAGACTTAAGGTAACTCTTGTCTGTCCCTGGAGTCTAACAGAGAATATAGACTTAAGGTAACTCATGTCTGTCCCTGGAGTCTAACAGAGAATATAGACTTAAGGTAACTCAAGTCTGTCTCTGGAGTCTAACAGAGAATATAGACTTAGGTAACGCATGTCTGTCCCTGGAGTCTAACAGAGAATATAGACTTAAGGTAACTTATGTCTGTCTCTGGAGTCTAACAGTGAATGTAGACTTAAGGTAACTCTTCTCTGTCCCTGGAGTCTAACAGAGAATATAGACTTAAGGTAACTCATGTCTCTCTCTGGAGTCTAACAGAGAATGTATAATGTAGACATAAGGTAACTCATGTCTGTCTCTGGAGTCTAACAAAGAATGTAGACATAAGGTAACTCATGTCTGTCTCTGGAGTCTAACAGAGAATGTAGACTTAAGGTAACTCATGTCTGTCTCTGGAGTCTAACAGACTGTCCCTGGAGTCTAACAGAGAATGTAAACTTAAGGTAACTCATGTCTGTCCCTGGAGTCTAACAGAGAATATGGACTTAAGGTAACTCATGTCTGTCCCTGGAGTCTAACTTAGAATGTAAACTTAAGGTAACTCTTGTCTGTCCCTGGAGTCTTAACTTAGAATGTAACTTAAGGTAACTCATGTCTGTCCCTGGAGGTTAACAGAGAATGTAAACTTAAGGTAACTCATGTCTGTCCCTGGAGTCTAACAGAGAATGTAAACTTAAGGTAACTCTTGTCTGTCCCTGGAGTCTTAACTTAGAATGTAAACTTAAGGTAACTCATGTCTGTCCCTGGAGTCTAACAGAGAATATGGACTTAAGGTAACTCATGTCTGTCCCTGGAGTCTAACAGAGAATATGGACTTAAGGTAACTCATGTCTGTCCCTGGAGTCTAACAGAGAATGTAAACTTAAGGTAACTCTTGTCTGTCGCTGGAGTCTTAACTTAGAATGTAAACTTAAGGTAACTCACGTCTGTCCCTGGAGTCTAACTTAGAATGTAAACTTAAGGTAACTCTTGTCTCTCCCTGGAGTCTGTAGTACAGTCTAACAGGTAGGAGCAACTCATTCTCAAGGTCACTTATTCTCAAGGTCACAAGATCTTGGGTAATATTAGAAGTAATACTTTGGTAGGTTATACCATTATGTTGTGTGTTGTTATCTCATTGTAGTATGTAGTACCTCTTTTTGTATTTTATGAGATGGCAGAAAACTAATGGTTTTTCATGAGTTCAAAGCAAGAGTGAAAATATTGGTATTCTGCCATACCAGTGATATACTACGGAGAAAACCATTAAATGTTTTATTTTTATTACATTTTTTAAGTACAGATTTTTCTCTGCAGGTTAAAGTTGCACTATTGTATGTTTGACCAGGTCCAACAAATCTGATACAGAGAAAAAACCCAAAGAACTGCCCCCTACACCATTACAAGATGGTGGAGATAGTGGAACAGCTACAATCGCCAATAAAGATGGACATCAGAATGACCAACAAAGTCAAGGGGAATCAGTAAACCACGGAGAGGAATCGGTGGTATACAGGTAAGTCATGTCAGGTCTGGTTTGTGATTGGTTGTCTGAGTGGTATACAGGTAAGTCATGTCAGGTCTGGTTTGTGATTGGTTGGCTTAGTGGTATACAGGTAAGTCATGTCAGGTCTGGGTTGTGATTGGTTGTCTTAGTGGTATACAGGTAAGGCATGTCATGGCTGGTTTGTGATTGGTTGTCTTAGTGGTATACAGGTAAGTCATGTCAGGGCTGGTTTGTGATTGGTTGTCTTAGTGGTATACAGGTAAGGCATGTCATGGCTGGTTTGTGATTGGTTGTCTTAGTGGTATAAAGGTAAGTCATGTCAGGTCTGGGTTGTGATTGGTTGTCTTAGTGGTATACAGGTAAGTCATGTCAGGTCTGGGTTGTGATTGGTTGTCTTAGTGGTATACAGGTAAGTCATGTCAGGGCTGGTTTGTGATTGGTTGTCTTAGTGGTATACAGGGAAGTCATGTCAGGTCTGGTTTGTGATTGGTTGTCTTAGTGGTATACAGGGAAGTCATGTCAGGTCTGGTTTGTGATTGGTTGTCTTAGTGGTATACAGGGAAGTCATGTCAGGTCTGGTTTGTGATTGGTTGTCTGAGTGGTATACAGGTAAGTCATGTCAGGTCTGGTTTGTGATTGGTTGGCTTAGTGGTATACAGGTAAGTCATGTCAGGTCTGGGTTGTGATTGGTTGTCTTAGTGGTATACAGGTAAGTCATGTCAGGTCTGGTTTGTGATTGGTTGGCTTAGTGGTATACAGGTAAGTCATGTCAGGTCTGGGTTGTGATTGGTTGTCTTAGTGGTATACAGGTAAGTCATGTCAGGTCTGGTTTTTGGTTGGTCGTCTTAGTGGTATAAAGTTAGGTAATATCAGATCTAGATTGTGGTTGGTTGTCTTAGTGCTATAAAGTTAGGTCATATCAGATCTAGATTGTGGTTGGCTATAAACATTGGTAATAAAAAAGGTATGGCATGCCATGTCATGTTTGTGATTGGATGTAAATAATTTGCTGTATTCAACTATAATTTGAAATGGAATAAGAACACAAATGTATATATACTTCTGATATGTGTTGTGTTTGTTATAGTGATGACCAGACCACAACCTCAGTAAATCCTAGTGAAGCAGAAGACACAGCGATGCTCGCTGTCCTGTCAGTCACTCACACCTTAGAGGACATCCCAGCCAGTCACATTCCGGAAACTCCCAGTTCAGAGGTCGTGGACTCAAGCACAGGAGTTGAAAGTCTGGTAAGGTGTTATATGATATAGCTGATTTTGTACTTGTTGCCTAAATGATTGTTGTAAATAAATAATTATGGTTTAGAAATCATAGCATAGTAAATCAGTGTGTTTTGTATTTGATATTTGATTATTGCTGAAAATGAGGCCAGTCTCAAGCTTCAAGTGTTGATGTTGACTGACAATGAGGCTGTTGTCAGGTGTTGATGTTGACTGACATTGAGGCTGTTGTCAGGTGTTGATGTTGGCTGACAATGAGGCTGTTGTCAGGTGTTGATAATGAGGCTGTTGTCAGGTGTTGACAATGAGGCTGTTGTCAGGTGTTGATAATGAGGCTGTTGGCAGGTGTTGATGTTGGCTGACATTGAGGCTGTTGTCAGGTGTTGATGTTGGCTGACAATGAGGCTGTTGTCAGGTGTTGATGTTGACTGACAAAGAGGCTGTTGTCAGGTGTTGATAATGACTGACATTGAGGCTGTTGTCAGGTGTTGATGTTTGCTGACAATGAGGCTGTTGTCAGGTGTTGATGTTGGCTGACATTGAGGCTGTTGTCAGGTGTTGATGTTGGTTGACATTGAGGCTGTTGTCAGGTGTTGATGTTGACTGACATTGAGGCTGTTGTCAGGGGTTGATGTTGACTGACAATGAGGCTGTTGTCAGGGGTTGATGTTGACTGACAATGAGGCTGTTGTCAGGTGTTGATGTTGACTGACAATGAGGCTGTTGTCAGGTGTTGATGTTGGCTGACAATGAGGCTGTTGTCAGGTGTTGATGTTGACTGACAATGAGGCTGTTGTCAGGTGTTGATGTTGGCTGACAATGAGGCTGTTGTCAGGTGTTGATGTTGACTGACATTGAGGCTTTGTCAGGTGTTGATGTTGACTGACATTGAGGCTGTTGACAGGTGTTGATGTTGGCTGACAATGATGCTGTTGTCAGGTGTTGATGTTGACTGACAAAGAGGCTGTTGTCAGGTGTTGATGTTGGCTGACATTGAGGCTGTTGTCAGGTGTTGATGTTGACTGACAAAGAGGCTGTTGACAGGTGTTGATGTTGGCTGACAATGATGCTGTTGTCAGGTGTTGATGTTTGTTGACAATGAGGCTGTTGTCTGATGTTGATGTTGACTGACATTGAGGCTGTTGTCAGGTGTTGCTATTGGCTGACATTGAGGTTGTTGTCAGGGGTTGATGTTGACTGACAATGAGGCTGTTGTCAGGGGTTGATGTTGGCTGACATTGATCTATTTCCAGAATACAAACAAGTCTGATGAGAAGACTGACCCTGAACCAGTACCTGTTGACCCTGAGTTCCAGACATTCACTGAATTTTTTGAGCAGAACAAACAGGCTGAAGAGGAGAAGAAGAAACAAAGCAGTATGTTTACATTTATAGTTCCTCACCATACAATGGTATTAACTTCCACACAGTTTAATGAATTGTCATGCAGTACTGGAAAACTCCTAACAATCCAACTAATAACAATACAATACTGTTATCACAACAAAGTTAGTTTCAATAAAATACCATTTAACTACTTAATTTATGTAATTGTTTATTGTTACAGAGCTGACTGACATGGCTGTAAGTGTTTATTGGTACAGAGCTGACTGACATGGCTGTAAGCGTTTACTGTTACAGAGCTGACTGACATGGCTGTAAGAGTTTATTGTTACAGAGATGACTGACATGGCTGTAAGTGTTTATTGTTACCGAGGTGACTGACATGGCTGTAAGTGTTTATTGATACAGAGCTGACTGACCTGGCTGTAAGTGTTTATTGGTACAGAGCTGACTGACATGGCTGTAAGAGTTTATTGTTACAGAGATGACTGACATGGCTGTAAGTGTTTATTGGTACAGAGCTGACTGACCTGGCTGTAAGTGTTTATTGGTACAGAGCTGACTGACATGGCTGTAAGGGTTTATTGTTACCGAGCTGACTGACATGGCTGTAAGAGTTTATTGTTACAGAGATGACTGACATGGCTGTAAGTGTTTATTGTTACCGAGGTGACTGACATGGCTGTAAGTGTTTATTGTTACCGAGCTGACTGACATGGCTGTAAGTGTTTATTGTTACCGAGCTGACTGACATGGCTGTAAGGGTTTATTGTTACCGAGCTGACTGACATGGCTGTAAGGGTTTATTGTTACCGAGCTGACTGACATGGCTGTAAGTGTTTATTGTTACCGAGGTGACTGACATGGCTGTAAGTGTTTATTGATACAGAGCTGACTGACCTGGCTGTAAGTGTTTATTGGTACAGAGCTGACTGACATGGCTGTAAGTGTTTATTGATACAGAGCTGACTGACCTGGCTGTAAGTGTTTATTGTTACAGAGATGACTGACATGGCTGTAAGTGTTTATTGTTTCAGAGCTGACTGACATGGCTGTAAGTGTTTATTGTTTCAGAGCTGACTGACATGGCTGTAAGTGTTTATTGATACAGAGCTGACTGACCTGGCTGTAAGTGTTTATTGTTACAGAGATGACTGACATGGCTGTAAGTGTTTATTGTTCCAGAGCTGACTGACATGGCTGTAAGTGATTATTGTTACAGAGCTGACTGACATGGCTATAAGTGTTTATTGTTACAGAGCTGACTTACATGGCTGTAAGTGTTTATTGTTACAGCGCTGACTGACATGGCTGTAAGCGTTTACTGTTACAGAGCTGACTGACATGGCTGTAAGTGATCATTGTTACAGAGCTGACTGACATGGCTATAAGTGTTTATTGTTACAGAGCTGACTTACATGGCTGTAAGTGTTTATTGTTACAGAGATGACTGACATGGCTGTAAGTGTTTATTGTTACCGAGCTGACTGACATGGCTGTAAGAGTTTATTGTTACAGAGATGACTGACATGGCTGTAAGTGTTTATTGTTACAGAGCTGACTGACATGCCAGGGACGGATGTCCTCCAGATGAAGCAGCAGAAGCGAGTGGTAAATGTAGCCTCCCGGGAGTGTGGGGCCAAGATCATCTCCAGTAACCCGGAGGCAGAGAACCCCGGGGGCGTGCTTACCTCTAACAAAGATGACTACATGATCAACCCCTGCAAGGCAGCAAAAAAATGGTGGGTCCTTCTGGTATATATAATATAAAAATGGTGGGTCCTTCTGGTATATATAATATAAAAATGGTGGGTCCTTCTGGTATGTATAATATAAAAGGTGGGTCCTTCTGGTATATATAATATAAAAATAATGAAAGCATACTGCACATTTTTATAGGTATATATATATATATATATATATAGTTACATGGGGCAAAGAAGTAATTCCAACAGTGTGGACTTTAGGTTGTCAAATTTTCGGAGCGATCCGCTACTTTATCAAGACACAGTGAAACAGAAGAGTTACATGTACATATACATCATATTACAAGAAGATAGAACTGACATACTATAATTGAAAATATAGCTATTATATAAAACCAATAGTCCCCTAAATATCAGAATGCTCGCTGGCTCTGCTCTATAGCGAAAGTGCGCTAAGACGACTCGCCCAATGAAACACAACGACGACCCACCAAATGATAACCAAAATCGGAGAAGAATCCCCCTAGAAAACTCTTTAACTACTAAATATATGTAGAGGACCTATTCTTGCGCAAGATGCACTATCACATAAAGTGAGTCCACGAGAGATAAGCACCAGAAAGAAGGGACAAGATATCAAAAACGTGGAACATGTGCACGTGGGAATCTGGCCCGGTAAATGTGAAAAATCTGAATTTCCTACGGACTGCCCACATTAATCGCCTCAATGCTGCAGTGGATTTAACAGTCACAGCAAGGGGGTCCACACTTAGTCGCCTCTTTCAGTTTGCAGGAATAATGCATGTAATTATCAAATAAATGAGTGCAGGAGGAATAAGTAGATGAAATGGGCATTGGCTAAGATACTGTATAAATCTGCAAAATTAATCTGACAACGGCTGTTGGTCACACACACTGACATGCAGCAGTAGGCAGGTGAGATAGCAGACCAACTGTGCAGTAATGCACCATTAGGTCAAATGCCCCCTGGAAGGAAAACGAGCGGATGGCAACCGCCTATCGTTCTTTCATACCTCGAGGGTAGCGGGTTTGTAGATTGGTGATCCAAAACCGTTCTCTTGTACGTCGTCTCGTTTCATCCCATGTAGGGCAATGATCTATGGCAACAACCTGCATGTCTTTCCAACTATGGCTAGGCATATTAAAATGCCTTGCCACAGTGAAGTCTGGTTTATTCTGCTTGATGGAGCAGCGGTGGTTGTTGATTCTGATATTGAACTGGGTGCAGGTCTCGCCCACGTACTGTAAATTGCTTTTTTTGCAGGTAATAAGGTACACCACATTGACTGATGTGCATGTCAGTGTTTGTAGTATGTGATACACTTTGCCGTTGATTGTACATTGAAATGTATCTGTGGAGCGCATATATGGACACAGTTTGCACACCTTCTTGTAACAGGTATTGAAAGAGCCTTTCGCCGCAGCAGGGTTAGGTGTAGGTAGCTTGCTGCTTACCACAAGATCTCTAATGTTTTTAGGTCTACGATATGCCAGTATAGGAGACTCTGGAAAGATCGGCCTAAGTTTCGCTGAAGATTTGATGATGCGCCAGTGATCTTTCAAGATAGATGGAAGTGACAGCATGTCTGGGTGGAACATGACTACACAAGGTATCCTTTGTGTTTGGGGTCTGACTTTGTATACAAGCAGACTTGCCCTGTCCAGTACCCTCACTTTGTCTATTTCCCGATCTATCAAAGTAGATTTGTATCCTCTGCCAAGAAGATGGGACTTTAACTCTGAACATCTGCGTTCGAAGATGATGTCATCCGAAATAATACGCCTGATGCGCAGAGCTTGGGAGTAGGGTATGCTTCTCGTGGTGTGCGAGGAATGACAACTGAATGGGAGGAGATACTGGTGTGTGTCAGTAGGTTTACAGTGAAGGTCCGTACTAATCTTACCATCAACAGAGTGAAACTGATGTCCAAAAATGTGTTGCTCTCCGTGGAGATATCCGCTATGAATTTGATGGTGGCTACAAACCCCGCTACCCTCGAGGTATGAACGAACGATAGGCGGTTGCCATCTGCTTGTTTTCTTCCAGGGGGCATTTGACCTAATGGTGCATTACTGCACAGTTGGTCTGCTATCTCACCTGCCTACTGCTGCATGTCAGTGTGTGTGACCAACAGCCGTTGTCAGATTAATTTTGCAGATTTATACAGTATCTTAGCCATTTCATCTACTTATTCCTCCTGCACTCATTTATTTGATAATTACATGCATTATTCCTGCAAACTGAAAGAGGGGACTAAGTGTGGACCCCCTTGCTGTGACTGTTAAATCCACTGCAGCATTGAGGCGACTAATGTGGGCAGTCCGTAGGAAATTGAGATTTTTCACATTTACTGGGCCAGATTCCCACGTGCACATGTTCCACGTTTTTGATATCTTGTCCCTTCTTTCTGGTGCTTATCTCTCGTTGACTCACTTTATGTGATAGTGCATCTTGCGCAAGAATAGGTCCTCTACATATATTTAGTAGTTATAGAGTTTTCTAGAGGGATTCTTCTCCGATTTTCATTTGGCGGGTTGTCGTTGTGTTTCATTGGGCGAGTCGTCTTAGCGCACTTTCGCTATAGAGCAGAGCCAGCGAGCGTTCTGATATTTAGACTATCAGCGTTCCTTGTCTGCAATGCTCTCAGCTTAATTGTTGTCTTCGGCTGTCTTTAGCCGAGGGGACTATTTATCTAATAGCTATATTTTCAATTATAGTATATCAGTTCTATCTTCTTGTAATATGATGTATATGTACATGTAACTCTTCTGTTTCACTGTGTCTTGATAAAGGAGCGGATCGCTCCGAAAATTTGACAACTTAAACTTGTCCACACTGTTGGAATTACTTCATTGCCCCATATACTATTTTAAGTAATTCGTATCCTACGGACATACCTCCATTAGGATCCAGTGTTATATGGGATTTTACCATCTATATTACCTCTTTGACCCATTATATAGTTATAGTCACACTTTTAACACATATTTACTATTTATAGTGGTGAGATTATGGAATCTGTTGTCATGTTGATGTTAAACAGGTTTTTGAAGTAAATGTTTTTATGTCACCTGTTACAGGTTGCTGGTAGTAAATGTTGTCATGTGACCTTTCAAGGTTTGTAATAAGTAATGTCATGTGACCTGTTCCAGATAATTTATAATAAATACTGTCACATGACTTTTACAGGTTTGTGATAGAGCTGTGTGAACCTGCTCGTGTCAAGTCCCTGGAGGTGGCCAGCTTTGAGCTGTTCTCATCACAGCCCCATACATTTCGTGTCCAATTCAGTGAAGTGTGAGTAAAACAGGTTTTGCAACTGTTCAGTATTTTAAGGGAATTCTTCAGTAAGTAAACACATGTAATTATAGACCTAAAAGTCAACAGTGTATCATTATGAATGTAATTCTCAGAACTGAATGTAAACGTTAACAATGTTCTGTTGTGTCCACTGTCTGGCCGGTACAGAAGC